ACTATGGCCTGTGGGCTTGCCACCTGTTTTTGTATGGCCCACAAGCTAAGAATGGTTTGTGCATTTTTAAGACTTGGTAAGAATATTTAGCAACGTGTGGAAGTCATATCAAATACAAGTTTCAGTGTCCATGTCTTGCCAATGGGTTTCAGCCCCTGTCAAGTTCACTATGGATTCAGTGTGACCAAAGAAATGACAGTAGAACGTTCTTGGGGTGAAAGGGTTATACCCAACTTTATTTCTACAGTGGCAGGTCAATCACTAAAATCCTGTTCACTCAGAGTGAGTCTGCACGCAGCAAGCCGGGCTCTGCCTCTGGGCCTCTGTCCTCCGCTGCTGCCACTCCAGCCTCTGCTCTGCTCTCCTGCAGCGGTGCCACCGTATCCCACAGAGCACTGGGTGGAGCTCCCTATATAGAGTCAATAGCAACGTATTGCCCACAAGTGTGTAGTGGGCTAGCCAACCAGGGCCAGGTGGGAATCCTGGCCACGGGAACTTTCATTTTATCCACAGTCCATACATTTTCATTGGAACACACCCCACCATTTGTTCACACATTGCTGTGGTTGCTAATACATGGGCTTCAGTGGCTCTCTCCCACACACCGAGTGCCCCCAACCCTCACAGAGCCACCCGGATGCTCCTGAATGTGCAGTGATGGGGTCCTTGAGGGTCCCAGGGGATGGGCCACATTTCTGGCAAGTGGATGCCTCACCCACCAGTAGTGCAGGCAGAGTTGAGTAGTTTTAACAGAGACTCGAGACAGAATGGCCTGCAGAGCCTAAAATAGTTACTGTTTAGCTTTTGCAAAAAAAGTCAATTAACATTTAATAAAGGATCAGTTAAGTGTATCAACGGTTGCTAATGCTAAGTATATCCATGGTTTGGCCTAATTTGAACTTTCAGGTAACCTTGCTTATGGCTTGGTGTAGCAATTCCAAATCTGAAGTCCGTGGAAGGGTTTCAGGGGTTCTCCGAATCTCCAGAATTTCTATGCAGATTTCTGTAGGTGGGGTCCTTTGCGGGGAGAGGCTTGATAACGTTCATTTGATTCTCAGAGATCTGTGTCCTCAAACAGGAAGAGAAGGGTGGGTTTGAAACCTTCTTCACTCCAGGCAAACTAATCGGTAGTTTCTCCGGGCTGTCTGGAGGCAGCACTCATGAGGTGAGATACCCGGGAGGCCGCGGGGCCTCCCTCAGAGCCCAGCCCTCTGCATGTGGGACAGGCCTACGGTGAGACAGGAGGGAGCCTCACCTTTGGGGCCAGCAGACACAGGCTGAATTCTGGCCCTGCCCTCCACGGGCTAGAACACTTCTCAGAGCCTTGGTTCCCGGGCTGGTTTGTCCCGAGGATGACCTCAGGAATGCTTGCTTGTTGAGTTTTGGGCACTGTGTCTGGCGCACACGAGTACTGAAGAAAAGGTGGCTGCTGTTATCATTAACAACCTTGGTCATTCAAAAGCCCTTTCCTCAGCTCACCCCAGACACATAAAATATGGCCCCATATTTGGCTAAATATGAGCTTCGAATACTCCTTGCATGCTCCTGATCTGATTTTATCTCTGTACTAGCAACTAAGGCAAGTCTATTAAACATACTCTCATGATCGCTGTGCAAAATAGCAGGCCCCTATTAAGTTTTTAAAAGTTCAATGGCCTCATTAGAACAGGGACAATGCTAAACATTCCTAAGAGTGAAGAGTGAAATAAGCGAAACCTTAAGCTCTTGTTACAAAAGTCTTGGCTGTTTTGGTTCTTTCTGTTTTTACTCCTGAGGAGTTACTTTGGATATTAAGCTTGGATCTACTTGCCCCCTAAAATGCTGGTCTGTGGAGCCCGGTTCCCCAGCTCAGTCGTCCACAGCTGGGAGGTTCATTCCAGAGCCCGATCGGCCACCACCAGGAGGGCCGACGGTGTCCTGGCTGCTGGGCTGTCCTGGGGACAGGCCTCCCGAACACACACAGGCTGGTCCGTGGCCAGTTCGGCCCAGTGCTGCCTGCCCCCTGTTGCTGGGCATAGTCCCATTCAGCTGGGGCCTGGTGGCTCCAGACAACAGCTGGAGACCAGAAAGTGAAGACTTCAGCTACAAGCAAATGTTGCTGCTTCTTGAAGTTGAAATATTCTATCCCCAAAGTGTCCCTTTCAGCCAAGCAAAAACAATCCCCCATGGGGACCCGACCCTGTCACAGAGGAACAAAAGCTTCCCAGTTCTCTGAGTCCCAGACGCTGTCTGCAGTTTCGGGCATGAACAGCCCAGTAGGGAGAGGCGATGACCATGTGACTTCCAAGCTCGGAGACAAGGTCAGCCTTGTCCAGCTCTTTTCGTCTCCACAGGAAGAAGAGCCTTTGATTGCCCGACAAAGGATGAGGCCCGTGCTGCCCCAGTACTGACTCCCGGGTGGAGGCTCTCAACGTCCGCATCTCTCAGGTTCGGGAGAACAAGGAGCCGAGGTCAGGGCCCGCCGTCCCCAGAGTCCCCTCAGATGGGTTCGGAGGGCTCCTGCTGGTCCTGCTTTAGGCAGGGCAGTTGCACATTCTGGCTGTGTTTATTGATTTTTCTGTTGTAGGCTAATCTGTCCCTAAGAAATTCCCCAGCAAGGCCACCCCATCTGTGTTCTACTCCCCATTAAAAATATTTTCCCATGGAAGGAAAGAGCTTCTGGGAAAGAGAAGGAGAACCCAAGAAGACAAACAAGTGAAGCTGGCCTTGGGGGAGCCATGGCACTGCAGCAGCCCCAGACTGTCAGTTCAGGGCCAGCTGCGGTGGGCGCAGGCCAGAGTCAGCAAGGGAGAGCATCTGCGAGAGAGTGGGGCTCAAGCTTCAGATCGGGATGCTGCGCCTTCGGGGGACATATCTGGTCAAATTGCTGTGCTATACACATTTCTTCCCCCACCCTCTCTGTCCTGCAGTGAATTTCCAGAGTTGATACAGCCTTGCAGTTGGATAACAAACATACTATTGAAGGTAAAGGAATCAGCCATTGGAACTTGCACAACCTTCTACGTGTGGACAATTTATTTCAGAGAAGAAGGTAATTACCAGCCACACTTCTCAAAGTAAAATTGTTGTCAGACTTCAGTGAGCATCGGCGTCATTCAGGGACCAGCTTCCCAGGGTGCTGATTCAGCAGGTCTAGGGTGGGACCCGAACCCGCACTCTGAACAAGCACACGAGGGATTCCGAGGCAAGTGTCCAGGCACCACTCTGAGAAAGGGGTGGTGCTGCTCTTTTGCTGGGTTGGCCTGTGTCCCCTTTTCTCCCCGCTGTAACCAGCTAGAGCAGAGAGACTTCACCTGGCAGATCATCTCCTGAGAATTTGGAAGTGGGGCTCATAGAACCAGCAGTGTGTGTGCCTGAACCGGTCAGGCTAGAAGTTTGGAGGGAAAGTTTCTGGCTTCTGGGGCTGCCCCTTCTATCACCCCCCACCCACGTCCTGTCTGGGCCTCTCCTCATCTGCCTGCCTGTTCTGAGACTCTGTCCTCAGCAGCCTTTTGGGATGGCCCCAGACACACCCCACATGTTGCCTGTGCCCCTGTTTCCATGCACTGTGCTGCCCAGGCCTGACCCTCCTCCACGGGTCTCAGGCTGCCTGTCCGATGCCTACTGGACAGCACTGCCTCCTACAGGGACCTCACTCGTCTTAGCCCAAACAGCACTCAGCATGGTTTCTCTCATACCTAGCACCATCTGTGTTCTTTTCTTAAAGAATGGTCCCTCTTCCCCCACTGGCACCCAAGTCAGAATACTTGGGGGTCACCCTAGACATTTCCTTGCTCTTGAATCCCTCCTCCCGCCTTAGAATAACAGGAACAGCAGCCATTTATTGAAAACATTCTATAGGTAATGACTCATCACAGCTCTGTGAGCCAGGTCCCTTAACTGTCCCCGCTGACAGATGGGAAACTGGCACTCAGGGCTGGGTCACTTGCCCAGGTCATGTGGTTAGTGGTGAGGTTGGGGTGTGACCCCAGGCCATCCCGCCTGAACACATGCCTCTGGCCTGTGGACATGGCCACTGTGTCCCCCTTGGGTCCCCCCTTCCTCTCCAAGCGGGTGTGGGGCCCGGCCAGGTCCTCAGTGTCTCTCTGCGTATCTACGAGCCTCCTAGCTGGCCTCCTCACCTTGGGTCTTACCCTATCCAATGTGATTTCCCTGATGGGAGTGGGAAATCCTTCTAAACTGGGAATCTGATGTCACTTCTCCGGTGAAACCCTTCAAAGTCTCCCTGTTGACGCTCTCTGGCCACACAGCAAATGAAAGGTGGGAGCTGAGCCCTGGTGGGCGGCTCCAGGGCTGTGCTCCCAAATACCAGTCCCTGCCCCTCTCTGAGCCTGTTTCCTCACTGCAAAATGGGGAGGACAGCGCCACTGAATGGGTGCTAGGGTTTTCATGGGTGTGTGTGGTGCCCAACAGCATGCTGGGTGCAGAGTGGGCGACCCATCCATGAACATCCATTACTATTATAAAAAGAAGAGGGTGGGGAGAAAAGGGGGGAGGTACGGATGCTCTGAAAGGCCAGATGAAATCCACATGGGATAGTAAGTATATAAGCACCCCAGGTACATTTCCCCACTAATCTGCATTACCTTCTGAGGCACAGGCACCGTCAGGGTTCACAGGAGGGGAAGCTGAGGCTGAGAAAGGGACTGGCCATTCACGGTCAGCTCAAACTTAGGCCCTTCTGAGAGCAAAGACTGTGCTCGTGCCCATGACCCACTCAGGTCTGAGGCGTGCTGCTTTGGAATTCCAACTCTTTTAGACCTCAGCGAGTGAGCCCAGCTGTGGGTCAAAGCCGTGACGAGGCCCGAGGGAATCTGGAGACACTAACAGGAAGGACCGAGCGAACGGTGAGGCCTGGCATTTGTGCAGTGGAGAAGGCCGCATGGGCCCCCGCACGCGGCCCCTTCCTGGGGCCCGGAGTGCGCCCGTAAAAACGACATGCTAGGGAGCATCGCTGTTTCTACAACAATGAGAATATTTATTTTCTCCAGACAGTAAAAATAACATTTTCCTCTCTTTTGTAAAAGTACCATTACATTCCATTTTCTTAAATAACAAAATCCTAAAAATATATATTAAATTGTATACAGTGCGTCACACTTCATTTTATATTTAAAAATACATGATGTTTCTATTTTATTCTCAAAGTTGCATATTAAGAGCATATTTACAAATAAAGCCTTGTCATCCAAAGTCAAAATCCCTGTGGGAAGGTGAGTCTGGATGTGGGCAGGTCTTGACACTGCATGTACCCCGAGACAGCTCCCCGGGCGGGCAGGGAAAGGGCCCCCCACTATGTGCTCCTGGAGACTATCCTTTCTGAAGCAAATTCACCTCGGATTTTCCCACACACACTTCTGCTTCACTGAGTATGTTCCACTCAGTGAGACAGAGCAGGTGAGCTGGGCTTCCCTGGGTCTGCGGGTCGAGAGTGAGGCCCCCTCGTCACCCTGGGGCAGCCCACCTCAGTGGGGAGGCGGCCGTAGCTGGAAGTGTCGAGAAATACCCCGCGCCAGGGCAGCTAAGCCGGGAGACCTGGCCGGGAGGTAGAAAAGTGAGGAAGGTAAACAAAAGACACCAGAGGAACAATCAGAAGGTGAAAAATTCCCAAGGCAGCAACAAAACCAGACATCAAACCCCAAAAGAAGACAGGCACCCAAGAGGTGCTGGCTGGCCGGCTGGGGAGTGAGGGGCCGGCCTGGTTCTGCGGGAGACCTGGATGGCCTCACCAGGGAGGGGCATGGGATCCCCAAGGCCATCTGCTTGTAAGTGCTTGGGAGGGTTAAGTGCCCAGGGCGCAAAGGAGCCCGGGCCGGCCTGCGTGTCCTGCTGGCGCCAGGGTGGCCGACCCTGCGGGGCTAGGCTGACTGCCGTCTAGGACTGACAATGGGGCGTGTGGGTGGGGCCGTGGCTCAGGTTCGGCCTGCGGGCCTGACAGCTGCACTTGCTGGTGCTTTGATCTTTGTGGGTTTCTGGCTGACTGGAGTCTTGAGCCAGGGCCCACACTTGAGCAGTTACAGCAACCTGGTCACTGTGCTCAAGCCAGAAGAGTGGCCTCAACCCTGTTCAACAGGACAGGGCCCCAAGGTGCTCACTTGTGCTGCCTCTGCTCCCTGTCACCTCAGCGCAGAGCCCTTGCGCAGGATGCTTTAGAGGGCTGTCCATGGGGTCCCCACACCCCACCATCCCTCCTTCAACACCTGCTCTGTGATCCGTTAAGTTACATTTTTCAGGTTCACCTTTTCCAATCACCTCCAACCCCACTTGGCTCTAAAGTAGTTTCTCAAAATACCCAGTGCTTCCCTCCTTCGGTGCTCCTGGAAGCACATCTGGCCTCATCTGGCATGAGTTATTTCTTAGGTGCTTACTTAGCTGCAGGGGTCCCTCTGGGGGGTGTTACTGACAGGTTGCAGCCGAGGCCATGCCAAGAATGCTGCAGAGGCATTTAGTGGTTTGGTGAGTGACAATTTATGGCCCTCTCCCCCCACACTGTCCTGAGGCTGGTTTAGGTTTCCAGGGGCTTCTCCTTGGACAGTCTGTCAATCCTGGCTGCACTGGGCTGTGCCAGGGCCGGCAGGGAGGAGTGCACTGGGGCATTGCCAGCACTTCCAGGATCTGGGAGGAAGGCTGCTCCAGCTGCAGGCTCAGACACATGCTGGATTCAGGGTTGGTCTCTGGGACCCGAGGTGTGAAGTGGCATGGTGGACTCTCAGGATGCCCCAAAGATCAATGATCAGAATAAGCCCTAGGCAGCTGAACAGCTGCCCCCCACACCGGCCAGGCAAACACCTCCCGGGGCTAAATTCCATGTTCCCTTTGTGCTGCAGACAGATCTATCCGCTGCACAGGCCTTTTGTGGCTGCATACACCTCACACTTGTGCTGAGAGGAGATTCCACAAAAGCCAGGAATAGCTTGGTGGGGAAACTGCACATGTCAGTACATTTCCAGGGGTCCTTGTAAGGGACAGGCCTCTGTCTCCAGACCCAGGGGCCTGCAGACAGCTGCTCCAGTGAAATCAGCCTTCCCAGATCAAAGCGTGAAGACAGCACCCAGCAGCTCTATCCCAGGACAGGCCTCCCACTGACCCTGGGGCAGCATCATGCCCTCCTGTGGACCTGCTACCCCATTTCCCTCTCCCAAGTGCCCCTCTGCTCTCCGGCTCCTAGCATCTTCCCAGGTCCCCGTGGACACCTCCCACAAGGCCCTCTGCCTTTCTGGAAGTAGCTGGGAGCACATGGGCTGCCAACATGCAGAAGCCCTGGAAAGGCTGCAGCAGGCAGTAGCTTAGGGACTCAGGGAAGGTAGGCAAAGTGCCCCCATGAGGGACCCGTGAGGCCAGAGGCCCAGTGAGGCCCGGGTCTGAGTGCCCCTGGGAGAGTCACGCTCTGAGAAAGGCCCAGGTTGTTCTCAGCTGCTGCTACTGAAGCCTGCTTTTGTATGGTGGAGACTTGTAAACCGCAGATGGCACTGACTCTCCCAACCGGGGGCCACTGCCACTGCAGCTCTCCATCTCAGGAGGCCTACCCCTGGGGGGTCTCCAGGCCTGCCAGCCCCCCTACCCTTGGAGGGTCTCAACGTCCCCAGGCCTCCCTCTCACCCTTCAGGCCACCCTTTTCGATTCACTTCCCTGTCTGGGGGGCAGGCTGGTATGCAACAAGGGTCAAGAGCCCTCTCTCTCCCTGCTGGACCATTCTGAGAGCAGAGAGCACAGGCCATGCGGCATTTTTCATCTTTTAAAATGAGGGACACCTCAAAACGAGGAGGGGCTGCTGGCGCCTATGGCTCGCATAGTGCTGCCTAAATGCTAAGCCTCAGTATTTACAGTGTTCCCACTGAGAGTCAGCTTAGAGAATCATGGTGCTGACAGGGGCCTGGCTCAGGTGCCACAGGATCAGGAGCTACCTGGGAGCAAGGCCAGACAAATCCAATCTAACAAGGAGTTACTGAGCACCTATAAAATCTTTCAGTAAAGTCTGCTGCATGAATATATGGACGGATCTTTTATATGACCACTCCTCAAGCTTGTTCTGCTGGCCACCAAGCTATAGAAAGAAGACCATGTGTGGAAGGAGTCTGATTTGATCCGATGGGGGTTGAAAGACCCAAGTCCCAGGCCCTCCCAGGTAGAAGAAGGCCTGTCCTCATCTAGCGCCCAGAGGGCAAAGCCCCAGAGTCCACACAGAGCACAGGCCCTCTTTATACTTCGAGGGTGCTAATGCCCAGGAGTACAGAGCCAGGCCAACCCTCAACAGAACCTCAGAATTCTCTCCATCTGGCCCTGTTGCAAACCATAAGGACCAGGAAAAAGTGATCTGTGTGTGGACAAAACAGAGGAGAAGCAAGCAAGACTCAGCACACACTATACCTACCCCCCACCCACAGTCGTCTAGAATGTACCTGAGCCCAGTGCCGGACACAAGCATCGCTGTCATCTCAGCTCCACTGTCCTGACAGCGCCATTCTTAGCTCAAAGAGAGAATGCAGGGAGGTCCTGGGCCTTGGGACCTTGAGTCTCAGTCCTAAGTGCAGCAGATGCAGCGGGAGCCTTTAGTCACTCACGAGAGGATTACGGTCATCCTGTTGACTCTGACCCTTGAGCTTCTTCTTAAAGATGGAAATGGAAGTCGAAGGCTCATAAAAGATGCTCCAGATCTCCCCTGACGTCCCTGGTCGATGACAGTCCCTAAGGTCCCCTGAGGCAGGAACACGATGGGACCTGCAAAACAAAAATGACTTGATTGTTCAAGTAGAGTGGAACAAAACGTCCCAAACAACCTACCGCCTCATGAGATGCATACACCTAAGAAATGGGGCATTCAGTGAGGTGAGGCCCGGCGGGCGCCTTTAGAGTCCTGAAGAGCCACTGTGCGAACAGAGTGTGCCCTGCGGTGGGGGAGCGCCGTGGGGCAGAGGCCGGCTCAGAACAGCACATGACTTTCCAGCTGGCAGAATTATTCAGATCTGGAAAGGGCTGGCTTGAGAAATTAGGAGTTTTCAAATTCTTTTTTTTTAATAGAAGAACTCTTTCTTCAAATGATATTTACCTGGAAGCCCACCTAGCTAAAACAGGATAAAGGTAAGCCTATTCCACTTAAAGTGGGTCCGGCCTTACCACCACCACCTGCCCCTGCCCCCCATCAGGCCCCTGGGCTGCCTGGCAGGGAATTTGCAGGGGGATTCGCTTCCAGTGACAGACGGGTCGGGCACGCGCCGCAGAGCCTCGGCCCACTGTGAGGTGCTGGCCCACAGACGGCCTCCTCTTCTCGCTGCTCTAGGCGACTTGAGGACAAGGTTGCACCTGAGAGGCTTCAGCTTTTTTAAGTCACAACTCATAGGAGTTGTGACTTAAAACAACAAAACAAACAAAATCTATATATGTAAATGGCATGAGAGTGAGCTCAGCAAACAAAGACATTGTTTCCACTCAAAAATGTAAAGTGCAGTAGGGAGAGGCCTATGGGTGGTCCCAGCCTGGCCAAGGGCAGGCAGCCTTCACAGGGCAACGGAGGAGCCAGCACTGAACGTATAAAAAGCTTGTGGCAGAGGGCAAATGAGAAGGTCGGGAAAAGGTGACTTTTACAGGACACCAATGTTCAAGAAGGCCTTGAAATGGAGAGAACATGTATGTCAATTATATCTCAATAAAACTGGGGGGGGGGGCGGAATAAATGGAGAAAGCCCAGTCTGGCAACCATAGGACAGAGAGTCGGGGGGAGGGGGAGGGCGGTCTAGAAAAAATTAGAGCTCCCCTCTGTAAGTACACACACACATCAGCAGCACGAACGATCACCCCTTTCCTGGAAGGTGAACCTGTGGAACCTGAGCAGTGAAGTAAGAGAAGGAAATTTTTTCCAAATTGGTCAGAATTGAAGGATGAAGCTGCTTAAATAATTGCTGTAAAATAATTATTAAGCAACAGTTAATATAATCTTAGAATTCTCTTCTAATAATATTTTCCAATTTCTAGAAGGCATCAGGAAATATGCATGGTGGTATCCTAGGAATCTTTATTCTTGTATAAAGATCTCTTTATGGGACCAGCACAAGCCAAAAAACTGGAAATTGCTGCTTCTTATGCCCAGATGGTTTCAATCCTCCTTGAAATCATTCCTTGGACACAGGAGCAAACACAGCCCCTCAAACCTTAGGGAGATTCGCCCAGCTGTGCATTTCCCTCCACAGAGAATGAGGACTGTCCCTGCCTTACGTTACCTAGGACTGTAGTGTCAAGTTCTGACATTACAACTGTACCCAGACAAATGAAACACAGTACAAAGCAGTTCTGAGCCTTCCCGGCCTGGAACTGGGCAGCTCTCCTGTACTCACTTGAATGTGACGTGCAGAAGTACCTTGGCCACAATGGCTGTGACTGTGAGGATGAGGAGTGTTGCCAGACCGTATACTGTCCATCCTGCAGGTGCAAAAGTCAGAGTTTACCGGACCTGTTCGGGCTCAGTTTTCGGAGGGTGGCCTGTTGGGAGGTCCCCAGTGAACACTGGCAGCTCAGAGAGACAGGCCTGGCTGAGGAGCTCCAGGCAGGGGTGGGCACCCACCAAACCCTCCTGAGAGCTGGGCTGACACAGAGCCCCGAGCCTTCTGAGCGCCTCACTCTGCTCTAGAGCGCCCTCTGGGAGAGAGGCAGGTGGTGTGGTCCACAGTGGTCTCAGCTCACTTTTGAGTTGAAAGGGATGGTGTACATTCTGTCTCTACCGCTGAAACCACCATGCAGTCACTGATGAGTTACACTCTTTGGGCCTCAGTTTACTCTCAGAGGAAGGAGAGGTGAGCCCCGTGGAATCCCTCAAGGTTGCACAAGCAAGGGGTGTGCTGGGCAAGCACTGGAGGGACTCTCCTCCCTGACCGTCTGCAGTGCGTCCTGCAGGGAACGCCTCTAGGCTAGGTAATCACTTACAGTACTCGCCAGCTCAACCAGCTCATAAAGGATCCAACTTCCTCAGTAGAAAAGAGGATGGAAGGAAGTATGTTCCCAACCAAGTTAGCCAGCTTAAACTGCACGACCACCACCCACCTTCTGTCCCTCTCTGCATCTCTTTCTTCATAGCTCTTGTCACCATCTGACTTAGTTTTGCTTCTCGTCTTCCTCCTCCCACTCATGAGCCACAGAGGTAGGGATTTTGTGAGGCTCACTGCACGGGGCAGTGCCCGCATCAACACCCAGCACCAGGGAAGCACGTGCTTGTCTTCTGTGTGCATGGATGAAGAGAGCTCTTGCAATGAATTAAGGAGCTACAACTTGGGGCTCTAGAAAGGTATCTTTCTCAAAGTTAGAAAATGCTGGATTAGCTGGTCAATCATAACGTATGCAACCTAAGCTGGATCTTTGCAGGTGAGCACTTTCTCCTAAGGACTAAGAAATCAAGCTAATGGGAAAACGTCCCTCACAAGCCAAGACCAATAGGGCCACAGAGCCAAGTGCCCCCAACCTGCCTGAGAAGAACGCTCTGGCTTCCATCCCCCTTCGTGGTGACTGGGAACGGCTACCTGGGACGGTCTGGGGTGGCTGGCTGGGGCTGGTGGTGATGACATAGAGCACTTTCGAGGACCGGGCAGCACTGATGCTGAGGTTGGCCTGCTCTGTGATCACCTCGGCCAGCGTCTGGTTGGTGGTGGGCCTCTCCTGTGGCGGCTCTTCTTTGACGGCTGGAAGATCAGAAGGAATTAACTGGGGGAAAGCTGACAGGGGCAATGCAGAGCTGCCGAGGAGGAGGCCCGGTTATGAAGAGAAGGCAGTGTTTTCTGATTCAATTCTGGGTGCAGTTCTCTCTACTGATCCCACTGGCCCCAGAGCAGGGGGCTGTCAGCTTCCAGTCATTTCACTGGTCTCTTCAAGGACGCCTGAGATGCTTTATCATTTTCCTACCCTTGCACCCTTGCAGCTACACTCCCTCTGCTTGGGAAGCCCTCTTTCTTCCTTCCTATTGGCCCAATTCCTGCCAATTCTTCAAGACTGTCTCACCTGCGGGGAGGCCCCCTCCCTCTGACTTCCTGCAGCACACACTGACTCAACTCTTCTCAAGCCCTCTGACACCCAGGACCAAGACCAGGTCTTACACATGCCCTGTGTTTCTCCTGTGTTGGCAAAGAGATGCACCCAGCGCACATGTGTTCATACTACAGGGGCTGATAGGGACCCCACCTTACGGTGGTTTGAAGAAAGTTGGGAAACCAATCTTTTGGGATCAGCTGGGATACCGAGAGGCGAGAGGATGGACCAAATGACCTCTTTGGGCCTTCCGATTTACCAGCCTCAGCTCTTCCTTTGAGTTGTTCTTTTAACCATCCCCATGAAAACTGTTGTTAGGACTACTAAGGTAGCAAAATTGACCTTCGTGACTCACAGTCCTCCCGGCAAGAACCGCCCAAGGTCCCCAGGTCTCCTCAGTGTGAGACAGGAGCCCAAGATGCTGGGGCCAGGAGGTCTCACCTTGGTATAAGACAGCAAATCCCTGGGCCTGATTGATGCGGTCAGAGAAGAAATACAAAATGACAAAATCCAGGGAGATGTTAAAGGACAGAGGTGGACGGTTCCTTCCATTGAAACGGACCAGGACGTGGTGGGTGTAGCCGTCCAGTAGCTCTACCATATCAGCAGAGTCCCTGATGTCAAACAAGGTGAAGCTGAAGTGGATGTGGGAGGCTCCGGGCACCCGGATGGTCCAGTAGCAGACCCTTCCCGTGGCGTAGGTGTCAGGAAAGTCAGGGGAATAGACCACTGCAGTCATGGCTGAGTAGTTCCCACCACAGGCGCCCACCAGAGCTGCAGAGACAAAAGAACACTGGCCCTCAGCCTGGTGCTCAGCCCCAGGGCTCACTCCAACCTGTTAGAAACAAAACTCCTTCTGGTTAATATGATCCAGTTTGGGATACTGTTTTTTTGTCTATAAAGCCAGGGTGTCTTATGTTTTAGGACTGAGTCATTTAAACCCTGAACAAATGCCTATGAAGGCTTTTCTTTCCTGCCCAGGAGACCTCAGAATCAGCACACAGCACAGTGGTGTGGTCTCGGCAGGCGCCAGCCCAGAGCCAGCGTCTGGGTTTGGGACCAGCCGGGCCATGCAACCCCCACGGCCTGTGTTTGTCTTCCTGCCTCTCACTTCTGCTGGTTTTGAGGCTAGAAAGTCCACACCTGTTCCTAGATCACATGAAATGTGTGAGGACTGATGAGATAAAGTGTATCAAAACATTGGGACCTCTCTGCAGGGGAGGCACTGGATGAGGTAAAGTCATGAAACAAGAAGGGCTTTACAGCTGTCTGGGATTCCTGACACCTTAGGGGTACGATGCTCACGTGAGTGCCCACACTCACTCATCAGGCAAGAAACCGTGGCACAAAAAATGGCTTTCTGTGTAGAGGAAACACACTCGGTTCTGACACTCTGTACTAAGCACATCTGATTTCTTTAGACTCCCATTTTTGATCGGCAGGTTCTAAGAAGGGGACACAATCACTTCACTGTATCTTAAGTGGTGCATTGTACACAAGATACTGGAAATGGTAGTCCTTTAGAGGGCACATAAGGGTGGGATTTAAAAAGCAGGTTTTGGGGGAGTTCTACTTCCCTTTAGCATATAGAAGGCAATAAGAGAATTTTGCTTTCATCTTAATGAGAAAAAGCTCAAAACTTTTCTTCAACCCATTAGAACACTCAGGTGTCAAGACAATCAAGGGAATTTAATTCTAAAAAGTATGAAGTCCCTCCAAGGAGAGCCAGGAAACGTAAGGTATTTCATTTCTGACAGAGCCTGAGAGGCACAGGTGGCCGCCACCACAGTGAGTAAGAAGAGAGCAGCTAAAAGGCGGAGTGTGGGCTTGCCTCTCAGTCTGGAACAACCGGGAGGCCCAGACACAGGGGGAGTCTGCAAGCAGTTCTGCACTAGCCTCCACCCAGTGCCCAGGAGAATGACTGGGGTGGGGAAGGGGCCCAGAGCCCCCTTGGTGCCACCAGTGTGCCAGGAGGCAACCAGCTGCTGCTGGGGGACGGGCATGAAACACTGCCTGCTTCCTGGACCCTCCTCTTAACAGAAGCAATGGCCTCAAGCTGCTGGGGGTGGGGCAGCGAACCGTCCTGCTCCCTGGGCCACTGGAGGGTAGAGGCGCAAACTGTGTGCCGCTGCAGTGGGAGTGGGAAATTGTTCCTGCCAAAGTAACAAGGCAAATGTCCACTGTTCCTGGGAGAAGAGAAGAGGCAAAAGCCATCAACCCCTAGTTGCCCTGTGCCTCTACATCCTGTGCCAGTATGAAGCAGTGGTCACTACCCCGGGGGAAGGGTAGGCAACTCCCACCTTCCCGAGAGCCACCACGGAGACAGGCAGTGTTCGGTTGCAAGAGAGAAAAGGGGTGTGCGGAGCGCTGAAAAGGACCCACTTCTGAGGCCCAGGAACATGTCCTAAGACTGAGGATGGGGCAGGAGAACCAGGAACCCCGACCCCATTATGAGCACAGTACCAAGAAACAAGCAACAGCAGGCTTACCACTGAGAGATGGGAAAGAGTATGGAGAAGGATACCTTCTGTGGCAAAGGCATCTGCTCAAAGCTGAGGACACCGAGAAAAGCCCACTGGCATCCTGGGCTCCACTCTGAGCACAAAGTAACAGCCACCCGTCACTGAAGGAATCTGAAGCCTTATGTGCGTGGAGGAGAGAGACAGAAACAATGAAATCCAAACCCAGCATAACTACTGAAGGAGTGGCTCAATCCCCACACTAAGCAGGTCTGCCTGTCTCCAGGGGTGAATTCTATTTACCCAGTCGCTACTGTTCTTCTACACATTGTGAATGACATTCAGGAAAATAGTGCAACATGCAAATAAAAGGAAGGAAGGAAGGACAGAAGGATGGAAGAAAACAACAACAAAAAGACTCACAGTCAAGCAATAAAACAATCTACAGAACCAGATTCAGTAACGACTCAGACATTAGAACTATCAGACAGGAACTTCATGGTCAATATAGTCAAGGATCTAGTGGAAAAGATGGACAGCACGCTTGCACAGGTAGGAAATTTCAGCAGAGATATGAAAACTGAAAAAAAAAAGAGTAAATTGCAAATGCTAGAAATAATACCAGAGATGAAGAATTCCTTTGATGGGCTTATAAAAAGACTACATATAGCTGAGGAAAGAATCAATACATTTGAATAAGTCAAAGGAATTATCCAAAATGAAACAGACAAAAAAAAAGTGAAAAAAACAGAACAGAGCATCCAGTAGTTGTGAGATAATATCAAATGATCTAACAATATGTAATCAAAGTTCCAGAAAGAGTAGAAAAAGAGAGTAGGGCAGATGAAATACTTGAAAACAAAACAAAGCCAAAAACAAAGAAAACACCTAGACACATAGTCAAATGTTGGAAACCAAAACAGAAAATCCTGAAAGCAAGAAGGGGAACAATTATATACAAGGGAACAAAGATAGAGCAGTCATCTCTAGAAATTATGCAAGACATAGACAAAGGTGCAACATTTTTAAGTACTGAAAGAAAAAAAAAACTATCAGTATAGATTTCAATATCCAGCAAAAATACTTTTCAAATATGAAAGTGAAATAAGGTTTCCTCAAACAAAAACTGAGAGAAGCCACTGGTATCAGACCTGTATTACAGGAAATGCTAAAGAAATTTCTTCAGGCCAAAAGAATATGTCTGATGGCAAAGAAAAACATGAAAAGATGTTCAACATGGTTGGTAATTACAGTAAGGCAAAGTAAAACCACGATGAGTTACCTCTACACACCTGCTAGAATGGCTAACATTAAAATGATACCAAAGGCAAGGATGGAAGGTTCATATATTGTTCGTAAGAATGCAAAATGGTACAGCCACGCTTTTGACAGTGTCTTATAAAAGCTAAGTATATACTTCGATATGACCCAGAAATCCTACTCCTAGGTATGTACCTAAGAGAAATGAAAATATGTTCACAATAACACCTGTACATGTATGTTAACAGCAGCTTTATAGCATCTTTAACACAGACAGACCACTGTTTATCAGTTGGTAGGCAGATGAACAAACTGTGATACATTTGTACAAAGGCATGCTTCTTAGCAATATAAAGGAACTCTGGAAACAACAAAGGTGAACCTCAAAAGCATTAGTCTAAGTGGAAGAAGCCAGACACAATAGTTAAATACTCTATGATTCCATTTGTATGCATTCTTCAAAAGACAAAACCAGGCAGATGGAATACAGATCAGCCGTGGCTAGAGGCTGGGGATGCGGGGAGGAACGACCACAAATGGCAAAGAGAACTTTTTGAGGTGATGAAGATGCTCTTTATCTTGACTGTGTATGTACTTGTCAAATTTTATTCAACTGTACAACTAAACGGGTGATTTTTACTGTATGTAAGTTACACCTCAATAAACCTAATTTGCTTTTTTAAAGGAAGCTTTAGATCAAGACTTCCTGGGTTCTAACCCTGACTTTACCATGTATGAACTATGAATTTGAGCAAGATACTTAACCTCTGTATACCTTGGTATCCTCATCTGTAGAATGAAAATAGTAATAGTTTCTCCCTCATGGAGTTTTACAAGAATTACAATGAGTTGATGCATGTAAAGTGTTTGGTACAGGATCTGGCACAGAGTACAAGCTCAGTGGTAGCTATTAGATGATGATGATGATAATTACTTGTAAAGAATTAAGTATTTAGGTGAAAATGAGATTTCTACAGCAAAGGCAGACCTTAAACTTAGAACTTTGGAGTTTCAGATGTGTGCCATGCGGGCAGTACATCCCATACAGCAATTTTGAGAACAGACACATGACCACTATGATGGATGATTAAAATTCAGTGATAATTTGATAGGAAACTTGGAACTTCAGAATATATTCAAGATCTTATTTTTTGAAAATGAGATTAGCCTGACACATACAACCTGGGCAGGGGGAGGATCTGGAAAAGATGTGGGCAAAACCTCCAGTGGCAGAAAGCCAGTGTCTGCCACCTTCTGTGCTGCAGCACCTTTTCCACCCCCGTCCCTGCCCTTCAGTATTAGCTGAATACTTTTCTCTAGGAATAAGCTTCAGGCATCAGCTGGGACAGCCAGCTTCTCCCAGATGCAGCTGGGTGCTCTGCTTCCAGACACAAACACTAATGGATGTGTTTTGGGAAACAAACCTTAACCAAATGGGTCCCAGCCATGAATCAGACTGCATTGGACTGGCACCAGGGAAGGTGAAGAATATTACTGTATTGCATCAGTTATAAGACATTTGAATCTTTAAAAGTGGGATGCGTCTTTCAATCGATACATGTCATTGTCTAATTGGAAGCAATTTCTTTTTCGCAGTGGTAATGTGAAATAATGTTGTGTTTTACAATTGATGGCATCCCAGAGGTCAGATCCTACCTGTCATTAGGCCCTCAATGTTTTTAGCCACTGATCTCTTCCATTCACACTTAAACGTAAGTTCCATGAAAGCCAGATCTTAATCTGTGGGACACTGGGCAAGCTATAAAGGATCCTGGGTCTCAGTTTTCCCTCATGCAAGTAAGGACACTATCTTCTTCACAGTATGAAGAGAATAAGGGACAGAAAACAGGGAAAGTGAATAGCACGGCGCCCTATAAATGAAATTCTCAACCATTTTTACAAAGTAAGGCCCTATCTGTAACCTCGGGGCTGAGAAGCTAAGGGGGATGGGAGAGGCCGGCCTGCGCAGTCTCTGTACCCCACTGTTGACTTGAGCCTGTCTGATCTTTTGTTCGAGCTTATCTGATCTTTCAATAAATTAAATCCTGGAGGAAGCAGAGGCTCTGAAACTCCACCAGTGCTGTATTTATACAGCGACCTCCCTATGCTCAAGAAGAGCTTGCAGGAAAATCAGCCATAGAGCCTATGACAAATCACTTGATGTGGCAATGACTGAGCAGAGAGGAGCTGCCTAAGGGCCTCTAGAGATGAGGGGCCTGGAGCACTCTCCTCAAGGAGCGGAGAACAGGAGGCTCTCTGACATTCCAGCTGAGCACCGGGTTGGAGCCATGCTGATAGCAGAGCCTGTTCTGGGAAACAGAATGTGACTGGTCTCTTTCTCACCATCTAACTTCTCCTCCGGTCCCTTTAGAGAGACCTCTTTGCCCTCCCAAAGTATGGGACGGTCTGCAGGCCCCATCTCCAAAATGCTCAGCCTTATCCGTGGGTCATCAGGATTTCCAGGAGGCAGTATTACAGCTATTTAAACTATTTTACTCTCTAGATGAAACTTTAGACATTATTTCTACATTGCTACACTGTTACCTTTCTTTGCAGACCTGAGGGGTAGGAGTTATTACAATTGGCTATTGTTAGGGGCCCCTGACAATCAACACACAGCAGGGCCTCTGAAGACCAGCCTCTCAGAATGCCACCCTTCCCAGTTCTTGAATTAGTGGGAGCCAGAGGGGGCAGCTTCTGGAAAGCTGCAGAAGGGGCAATTTGATAATAATCAGAAAAATGGGGCAAATTCTGTTCATATGGTTTTAAATTATGAAACTGGATCCATTATTATGACCTATCTTATTATTAATAAAAGGGTTCTAGCTGTTGAAAGTAGAAAAATAACAATAACCAGGCAAACTTGGGGTTGAATTCTGGATTTGGCACTCATTAGCCCGAATAAATTATTTTATCTTTTGATCCACAGCTTTCTTGTAAATAGGGCTGTGCAAAGGCTAAATAACATAAAATAAAAGCACCTGGCATCAAGACTAGCACACAGCAAGTATTCAATAAACCGTAATTATTTTCATTACAATTAATTTGCTTTAGTGTACCTCTGTGTGAGGCTCAGTACTAACTCCTAGATAAAATTCCAGTGCCAAATCATACTTGGTTGATGACTGACTGTCAGCTAAATTACTTCTTTTGATACCTCCAGTAGAGGTGCTATACTAAAGAAAAGAGATTTTTATCTGTCACACAGCAGATTGCTAACTGACTGAAAGATTATTATATAAAAATATATTCTATTTTTTTGTTAAAATAAAATTCACCATTTTAAAGTGTACAATTAAGGGGGTATTTAGTATATTTGAAATGCTGTGTGTATACATTATCTAATTCCAGAATATTTTCCTCACCCCAAAAAGAAAGCCCATATCCATTAGGCGATCACTCGTCTTCTTCCCCAGCCCTTGGCAACCATTAATCTGTTTTCTGTCTGTTTGGATTTTATGGATTTGCCTATTCTGGACATTTCCTATAAAGGGAATCATAAAACATGTGGCTGGATGTGTCTGGTTCCTTTTACTTAGCATGTTTCCAAAGTTCATCCATGTTGCAGCATGTCTGCCTTGTAACTGACTAATGTTCCATTACATGGATACACCACATTTTGTTTATTCATTCTTTAGGTGATGGACATTTGGGCTGTTGCCACTTTTTGGTTATTATGAATAAATGCTGCTATGATCATTCATGTACAAATTTTTGGGTGAACTTGTATCTTTAACTCTCTCAGTGGAATTGCTGGGTCATAAGGTAACTGTGTTTCATTTTAAGGAGCTGCCAGACTTTTTCCAAAGCAGCTGTACCACTTAACATCTCCACCAGCAACATAGGAGAGTTCTGATTTCTCCAGTCTTACTAACATTTATTTTCCATTAAAAAAAATAAACACTATATTGTTTTTAAAGAAGAAGAGCAGGTAGTGAACCCACACACCCTGCTTGTGTTTACTGTCTAGTCCCATGGCTTGTTGGCAGTTGAGTCCTGGCAAGGTGTTTATCTTCCCCATGTCCCAGGACTTTATTCTGTAGAATTAGAGTGTTAACAATAATGCGTTCCTCAGACGGCTGCCAGGAGGTCTTAACATGATGATTTATATAAAGCCTTAATACACACAAGGTATTTCCTTTCTTTTTCCACTTAAGGGTATACCAGGCAATCTGTAAGCTCAGCAAACACACTCTCCTGAGTCAGGGTGTCAGGCAGAAGACTTTCTATCAATGAGCTCCGGAAATAAAAGGTTAAAAAGATGTGCAGTGCATATTGTTTGCCAACCATTCTTCCTTAAACATTGCCAAGATTCAATCTTTAGTTTTAACAGAGGTACTAAATTATTTGTCTTGACTCAATAGGATGTATAGGAAGCGGTCTCCAATGGACACATTAACTAAAAAAGACCAAGTAACCACATGAGTTCCGCTTCCCAGTCCTCCTGTCCTCCCCACAAACACGCACACTTCAGACAATGTCACAATAACTTGTGAAAGGCTCAGTTATAAACCTTGGCTGGGCTTTACAGTCACCATATGTACTGGTTGAATTGTGTCCTCTAAAAGGACCTGTTTAAATCCTAATGCTTGGTATCTGTGAATGTGACCTTCTCTGGAGATACAGTCTTTATAGGTATAATGAAGCCATACTAGGTTAGATGGGCCCCAAATCCAATGACCAGCGTCCTTACAAGGAAACACAGAGAGACAGGGACGTAGACATATGGAGGGAAGATGGCCACGTGAAGGAGGAGGCAGAGACTGTAGTGATGCAGCCACATGCCAAGGATCGCTAGCAATGCCAGAGGCTAAGAAGAGGCGAAGGATTCTTCCCTGGAGCTTTCAGAGGCAGCACTGTCCTGACAACGCCTTGATTTTGGACTTCAAGCCTCCCAAACTATGAGAGAATAAATGTCTGTGGTTTAAGCTACCCCGTTTGTGATCATCTGTAATGGGTGCCCTAGGAAACTAATACACCATAAGACACGTTTGCTTAAAACAGCCACTCTGAGTAAATGAGATGTCATGAGCATATCTACTGTAGCCTAAAGAGAAACAAGGACACTACAGACTCTATAGTGTATCTTAGTAATCTCAAACCTTTCCTTCTGTCTGCCTCACTGTGACTATGTCGTTTCTACCACTTTAAAATCTGGCGCTGCATAGGCACTATGGCCCCTCACAAAGCCTCAGGATCGCTGAGTGGATGCAGGTGGATTTTGATGAGGGATTGGGAAGGCAAGTGGTTAGAACGTGTGTTGGAGAGGCCAAGGCCCCAGATCCATACCCTAGTCAGAGTGCACCCAGCCTCTAGCCCGCATCTCACAAACACGGCAGATCAGAGAGGCGGAGGGTCGGGGCCTAGCCGTACGGGCCTGGGAAGACAACACGAAGCATATGCTCTCTTCTCAGCTGCATCACAAGGAGAAAGAAATCCCAAATGCCTGAGAAAACACTAACAGGGCTTGGAAATTACATTAAAACAAGAGGAGCTTAAATCTTCTGATACTGAGCAGTTATATCAGCGTTTCTCCGTTAAACTGGAAAGGTCACCTTTTCTAGGTTGTTTAAGTACCTCACAATAGGCCCTGTCACTTTGAAGCACGTGGCAAACTGTAATCAATTACTTTTTAAACATCCACCCTCCTTTCTAGAAGGCAGGGCCTGAGTCTTGCTCAGTGTTTTATCCCCCGGGTCTGGTCAGTATCTGGCCTGTGGTAGGGGCTTAATAAGTGTTGCCAAATGAATGAATGAACGGAAGGCAGGGAGGGTGGGCAGGTTTGTTCCCTGGCACAGGGGTCCTGTGTCTTGAGTGATGGGCACAGGGCATACTCACTGTCAAAGAGGATGATCCTGCCATCGCCACCACAGGGCTGGGTGTGATCCCCAAAGCAGACACTGTTGCACTCGGTACTGGCTGCTTCCCCATACTTCCAGTAATCAGGGTCGTTCCCACAGAAGCAAGCATAGCCTGACTCCATTCCGGCAAACTGCCACAATAGAGAAACAGCACTTGGTAAGTCACTCTAGGGTGTCAGGGTCGGCCCCCCACAAGCAGCAGCCTCGCCTTCCTGCTCCGCCTTCCCTGGGACCTCTCCCTTGTCTCACTCACAAGACTTCATTACACACTGACCAGTAATTACATTTTCCCTTCAGCCAGCATCTCTCTCTTTTTTTTTTTAGTTATTGAAGTATCATTGATATACAATCTTATATTGGTTTCAAATATACAACACAGTGGTTCAACAGTTACCCATATTATTAGATCCTCACCTCCTCTATATAGTAACTTACTCTCTGTCAACATAAAAAGATGTTACAGAATCATTGACTATATTCTCCAGGTTGTACTACTATCCTTGAGACCAACTTATATTATGATTGAGAATTTTTGTGCTCCTTTATCCCCCTTCTCTCTCCCCACCCATTCACTCCAACCCGTCCCCCATGGTAACCACTGGTCACTTCTCAGTGTCAATGAGTCCACTGCTATTTTGTTCCTCCTGTTTTCCTTCATTTTTATACTCCACAAATATGTGAAATCATATGGTATTTGTCTTTCTCCACCTGGCTTATTTCACTGAGCATAATACCCTCTAGATCCATCCATGTTGTTGCAAATGGCAGCATTTTTTTAATGGTTGAATAATATTCCACTGTGTATATGTACCACCTCTTCTTTATCCATTCGTCTGTTGAGGGACACTTAGGTTGCTTCCATATCTTGGCAATTGTAAATAATGCAGTGATAAACAGAGGGGTGCATGTATCTTTTCAAATCAGGTGTTTTGTTTTCTTTGGCAAATTCCTAGAAGTGGAATTACTGGGTCACATGATATTTCTATTTTGAGCATTTTGAGGAACCTCCATACTGCTTTCCACAACAGCTGTACCAATTTACATTCCCACCAACAGAGTAGGAGGGCTCCCATTTCTCCATGTCCTCGTCAACACTTGTTATTTCTTGTCTCTTAGATAGCGGCCATTCTCACTGGCGTGAGGCGGTATCACATTGTGGTTTTGATTTGCATTTCCCTGATGATTGGTGATGTGGAGCACCTTTTCATGTGCCTGTTGGCCATCTGTATTTCTTCTTTGGAGAACTGTCTGTTCAGGTCCTCTGCCCATTTTATAATTGGGTTATTTGTTTTTTTGTTGTTGAGGCATATGAGTTCTTTACGTATTTTGGATGGTATATATACTGGATATATATTTTGGATAAACCATTTACAAATATATTCTCCCATACTGTAGGCTGCCTTTTTGTTCTGTTGATGGTGTCTTTTGCTCTACAGAAGCTTTTTATCTTGATGTAGTTACACTTGTTCATTTTTCGTTTCCCCTGCCTGAGGAGACGTGCCCAGGAAAAAGCTGGTCATACTCATGATCAAGAGATTTTTGCCTATGTTTTCTTCTAAAAGTTTTATGGTTGCATGTCTTACATTCAGGTCTTTGATCCACTTTGAGTTTACTTTTGTGTATGGAGTTAAACAATGATCCAGTTTCATTCTCTTACATGTAGTTGCCCAGTTTTTCTAACACCAGTTACTGAAGAGGCTGTCTTTTCCCCACTGTATATTCATGGCTCCTTTATCATATATTAATTGACAATATGTGGGCTCTCTATTCTGTTCCATTGATCTATATGTTTATTCTTGTACCAGTACCATACTGTTTTGATTACTGTAGTTTTGCAGTATAGGTTGAAGTCAGGGAGCATAATCCCCCTCAGCTTTGTTCTTTTTTCTGAGGATTGCTTTGGCTATTTGGGGTCTTTTGTGGTTCCATATGAATTTTAGAACTATTTGTTCATTAAAGAATGCTGTCAATATTTTGATAGGGATTATACTGAATCTGTAAATTGCTTGGGCAGGATGGCCATTTTGACAATATTTATTCTTCCTATCCATGAGCATGGGATAGATTTCCATTTATTTGTGTCTTCTTTAATTTCTCTCATGAGCGTTTTATAGTTTTCAGAGTACTGGTCTTTTACCTCCTTGGTGAGGTCTATTCCTAGATATTTTATTCTTTTTGGTGCAGCTGTAAATGGAATTGTTTTCCTTATTTCTCTTTCTGCTAGTTTGTTGTTAGTATATAGGAATACAACAGATTTATGTGTATTAATTTTGTATCCCACAACTTTGCTGAATCCAGTTATTAATTCTAATAGCTTTGGTGGAGTCTTTAGGGTTTTTATGTATAATATCATGTCACCTGCAAAAAGTGACAGTTCAACTTCTTCCTCACCAATCTGGATGGCTTTTATCAGCATCCCTTTTTTTATTAAGGTATCACTGATATACACTCTTATGAAGGTTTCACAAGAAGAACAATGTGGTCATTACATTCACCCTTATTATCGAGTTCCCCCCATACCCCATTGCAGTCACTGTCCATCAGTGTAGTAAGATGCCATAGAGTCCCTATTTGTCTTCTCTGAGCTACACTGTCTTCCCCATGACCCCACACCCACCATGTGCACCAGTCATGATACCCCACAATCCCCTTCTCCCTCCCTCCCCACCCACCCTCCCCCACGCCTCCCCTTTGGTAACCACCAGTCCCTTCTTGGAATCTGTGAGTCTGCTGCTATTTTGTTCCTTCAGTTTTATCAGCATCCCTTTTTAATGTTTGCATTTCTACTGTATTTAAGTAAGTTTGGTAGGGGGTGGGGAGGAAGAGTCCCATAAACTTGAAACATTAATAAGAGTAACAGCTGATCACTTTACTGAATGTTTACTATGTGCCAGGTAGTAAGTGCTTTGTAGCTATTCTTCACAGCAAATTACAGGCTCCATTAAAATTTTTACTTTATTTTTTAACATATATAAACTATTTGCAAATCACATATGCAAAAAGGACTTTTGTTGCAACTATTATAAGGTACAACCATTTATATGGTATATAGTTCTATGAATTTAACCACTGTTACAGTCAGGATACAGAATAAGTGCATTACCCCAAGAATGTTCCTATCTGGACCTTTTGCTTTCTCCTTCTCCTTCCTATAAACCCTGGCAACCGCCAATCAGTTTTCCATTGCTATAGTGTTGTTTTTTTCAAAAATGTCAAATGCTATAGACTGAAAGTTTGTGTCTCTCCACCTCCCCAATGCATATTGAAAGCTAGTCCCCAGGGTGATGGCATTTGGAGGTGAGACTTTAAGAGATGAGGCTGTGAGGGCGGACCCCCATGAATCAGTGCCCTCCCTAAGGGGACTCCAGAGTGCTGCCTTGCCCCTTTTGCCATGTGAGAACTTAGTGGGAAGAAAGCCATCTATAAACCAGAAAAACATGACACCAAACACCAAATCTGCCAACACCTTGATCTTGGACTTCTCAGCCTCCAGAACTATGAGAAATAAATGTTTTGTTGTTTAAGCCACCAAGTCTATGGTAATTTCACTACAGTAGCCATGTAAATGGAATCATATAGTATGTAACCTTTTGAGACTGGCTTTTCACTCAGTGTAATATGTTTGAGGTTCATTCAAATTGGTGCGTGTATCACTACTTTGCTCTTTTTTATTAATGCTTAATGATGTGGAAATGTCTTTTCATGTGCTTATTTGCCATTTGTATGTTCTCTTTGCTGAAGTATTTGTTCAAGTCTTGTCTGTTTTTAATTGGGTTATTTATGTATTTATTTTACTATTGAGGCTTTAGAGTTATTATTTTTTTTAGTACACTCTGGATACAAAGTTCTTTGTTGCATATGTGATTTGCAAATATTTTCTCCCAGGCTATGGCTGTACTTTTCATTCTTTTAAAGAATTCACAGAGCAAATGTTTTTAATTTTGTTGAAGTCCAAATTAAAGTTTACCAATTTTTTCTTTTATGGATCATGTTTTTGGTGTCACTAAAACTTTCTGTCTAAACCCAGGTCATGAAGATTTTTTTTCCACCTGTTTTGTTCTAAAAGTTCTATAAACAGTTAGACATAAGATCTGTTTTAAGTTCAGCATGTAGTCTTTTGTATTTAACTTGTCAATTAGCATAACGTTTGGTAATTCATCCATGTTGTATCAATATGTCTTACTGTATCTTTTCTTTTTACTGCTGAGCAGTACTCTGCAGTGTGCATACACCACAATTTACTTATCTGTTCATAAGTTAATGGACATTTGCATTATTTACAGTTTGGGGCTATTCTGAATAATGCTATGAACATTCATGTTTAAGTCTTTGTATGAACAAAGGTTTTCATTTCTCTTAGGTAAGTACCCAGGTGTGGTATTGCTGAATCAGAAGACAGGTGTATATTTACCTTTACAAGAAACTTCAGACCTTTCTCTAAAGAGGCTGTACCATTTTGCATTCCTACCAGCAGTCTATGAGAGTTCCAGGGGCTCCACCTTCTTACCAATTCTTAGTATTTTCAGCATTTTTAACTTTAGTCATTCTAGTGGATATATAATGTTATCTCATTGTGGTTTTAGTTTGTATTTCCCCAATAACTAGTAATGCTGAACATCTTTTCATGTGTCTTTTGGCCATCCATGTGTTTTCCTTGGTGAAATTTTATTCAAATCTTTTGCCCATATTAAACTTGAATAGTCTTATAATTGAGTTGTAAGAGTTCTTTATATATTCTGTATACAAGTCTTTTATCAAATATTTGTTTGTCAAATACTTTCTTCCAGTATATGGCTTGCCTTTTCACTTCCTTAACTTTGTTTTTTGAAGTTGTTTTTAATACTGATAAGCCTAATTTACCAACATTTTCTTTTGTGTTTTGTGTTTTTTATATACTGTTTAAGAAATCTTTGTCTAACTCACTGTCTTAAGATTTTCTGTATGTTTTTCTAGAAGATTAATAGTTTTTGTTTTTATTGAGATGTAATTCATGTAATATAAACTTCACTATCTTAAAGTGTACATTTCAGTGGTTGTTAGTATATTCATTATGTTGACCGACCATCACCATTATCTAATTCTAGAACACTCCCCTGCCTTTGATATGAAACCCGGTATCAATAAACAGTTAGTCCTAATTCCTCCTACATCTGTCAGCCAGGAACTTACTTTCTGTCTCTATGGATTCGAATATTCTGGACACTTCATATAAATGGCATAATACAAAACCTGGCCTCTTATGTCTGGTTTCCTTCACTTAGCATAATGTTTTCAAGGTTCATCAGGTTGTAGCATGCATCAGTACTTCATTTCTTCTGGTGGTTGAATAATATTCCATTGTATGCAAATATTTCATTTTGTTTATCCTTTTCATTAGTTGATGGACACTAGGGTTGTTTCTACTTTTTGGCTATTATGAATAATGCTGCTAAGAATATTCATGTACAAGTTTTTGTGTGAACATGTTTTCAGCTTTCTTGGGTATATACCAAGGAGTGGAATTACTGGGTCATAAGGTAATCTATGTTTAACTTCTTGAGAAACTGCCAAGCTGCTTTCCACAGCAGCTGCACCATTTTACATTTCCACCGGCAATGAATGAAGGTTCTAACTTCTTCACATCCTCACCAGTGCTTGTTTTGTCCTTTTTTTTTAAGATTATAACCAACCAAGATTATTCATTATGTGAAGTGGTATCTTATTATGGTTTAATGATTTGTCTTTTCCTAAAGACTGATGATATTGAGCATCTTTTCATGTGATTATTGACTATTTGTATATCTTCTGTGGAGAAATGCCTATTCAAAACATTTGAGTATTTTTAAATTTGGTTGCCCTTTAATTGTCCAGTTGTAAGAGTTCTTTATATATTCTGGACATTAAATCCTTATTCAGATAGCATCTTACTATGCTGATGGGCAGTGACTGTAATGGGGTATATGGTGGGGACTGATAATGGGGGGAGTCTAGTAACCATAATGTTGCTCATGTAATTGTGTATTAATGATACAAAAAAAATCCTTATTCAGCTATATGATTTGCAAATATTTTCTCTCATTCTGTGAGTTGTTTTTTGCATTTTCTTAATAGCATCCTTGACATACACGTTTTAAATTTTGATGAAATATCTATTTTCATTCTGATTGCTTGTGCTTTTGCATCATAACTAAAAAACCATTTCTAACCCAAGGTCATGTATATTTTTGCCTATGCTTCCCTTTAAGAATTTTATGGTTTCAGCTATTACATTTAGGTCTTTGATCCATTTTTAGTTCATTTTTATATAAGTGTGAGGTTGGAGTCCAAATTCATTATTTTGCATGCGGGTATCCAGTAGTCCCAGGTTCATTTATTGAACAACTATTCTTCCTCCACCAAGTGATCTTGGCATTCTTGTCAAAATCAGTTGACCATAAATAACTGTATGGGTTTGTTTCTGGGCTCTAAATTCTATACCATTGGTCTAGGCTACAACATGCTACAACTGCAAAATTGAGTAGCTGAGAAACCACTTTGGAAATTTTTTTCTTGTGTAAAAGGTCAGATAGTAAATGTTTTTGGCTTTGTGAGACATACAGTTTCTCAGCTGCTCAGCTTTACTGTTGTAGCCTGAAAGTAGGCACAGACAATATGTAGAAGACTGGATGTGGTTATGTTTCTAAAAAACTTTATTTACAAAAACAGGTGGGTGGTAGGATTTGGGCCAATTGCCACTGTTTGTTGACTTTTGACCTGTTTGACAATTCTTATGCTAATATTAGTCTCTTGATTCCCACAAGTTAATGGAAAGTCTTGAGATCAGGCAGGGTACATCCTCTAAAGTTGATCTTTTTAAAAATTATTTTGGTTATTCCAGGTTCTTTGCCTTTCCATATACATTTTAGGATCAGCTTGTCAATTAAAAAAATTATGATTTTGATTGGGATTGCATTGAATCTGTGGTCCAATTTGGGAAGAACTGACATTTTAACAATATTGAGTTTTCTAATCCACGAACAAAGTCTGTATCTCCATTTATTTAGATCTTTAATTTCCTCCTGCAGTGTAAATTAAGTATTTGGTATATAGATAGGTCTTTAATATCTTTTGTTAAATTTACTTTTATTTATGCTCTTATAAATGGAATTAAAATTTTTATTTTCTAATTGTTCACTGCTAGTACCTAGAAATGCAACACAGAATTGATTTTTGAATATGACCTTTTAACCTGCAACCTTGCTAAACTTACTTATTAGTTCTAGTAGCTTTTTCATATATTCTTTAGAATTGTCTATATACTTGATCACGTTGTCCATAAATAAATATTACTTCCTCCTTTCCAACCTACATGCTTTTTATATCTTTTTTCTTGCTTCATTTCATTGGCAAGGGCCTCCAAAATAATACTCATTAAAAAGATGAGAATGGGCATCATTGTTTGTTCCTGATCTTAGGTAGAAAGCACTGAACCTTACGCCATTGAATATGTTACCTTTAGTTTTTTTACAGATGCTGTTAATCAGGGTGAGGAAGTTCCATTCTATTCTTGGTATGCTGGTGAATTTTATCATTAGTGATTGCTGTGTTTTCTCAAATACTTTTGCTATGTTTTTATTTTAAAATAATTTCAAACCTACAGAAAAGTTACAAGAAAAATTATAAAAATAATTACAAAAGAGACCCCTTTCACCTGGCGACTCCCACTCAAGTTGGCAGCTGTTTGAATCACATCCTTTGTAGAAAAGGATCCAATCCAGGATCATAAGTATACTTAGCTGTCAGATCTCTTCAGTCTCTTTTAATCTGGAATAATCATTCCTTCCCTGACCTTTATGATTTTGACATTTTTAAAGAAGAATAAAGGCCAGTCATTTTGTAGAATATCCCCCATTTAGGATTTGCCTAATGTTTATTGTGATCAGATTCATATTATGCCTTTTTGGCAGAAGGATCAACAAAGTGACGTTATGCTCTTGACAGTTCAGGTGGGATACAATGTGCAGTTGTCCCATCACTGGATTGACTTTGATCACTTGAGTAAGGTAGTGCCAGTTTTCTCCACTGCAGAATTACTTGTTTTCCCTTAATAGTATTTTGTGGAACATCTTTGAGGCTATATAAATATCCTGTTCCTCACGCAACCTTTACCCACTAGTAGATGAGGATGTGGGATATTTGCGTACCTTGATATTTGCTCTCTGAATCATTATTACTATGACGGTTGTCAGATGGTTAATTTTCTAATTTCATCATTTCTTCTACATGTATTAGTTGGCACTCTCCTGTAAGGAAATGCTTTTCTTCTCCTTATATATTTGTTTACTTATTTATTTAAATCAGTGTGGATTTATATCAGCGTGGATTCTTATTTTATTCAATGGGGTATATTTATTATCATATGTTTTGAAGCTCAGATTACTTCTGTTTCTCCAGTGGAGACCCTTTAGGCTGCTTCCTCTGTCTTTCTGACCAGTCCCTGTCATTTCTTACTTTCTTGTATGAGATGTTTCAGGCTCATCTTGCACTTTCTCAGAATCACCTCTAGAATCAGCAATTCATTCCAAGTAGCACTGGTTCTTTTTAATGGAGAACAGTATTTAGAAACCCAAGATCTGAGTGCTAAATGTGCATTCCAGTACCAGTGTGTCACTGTTTCTGGGCTCCTTTAGTGGACAGAGCTAAGCAATATGTGTGTATATACATATATACACAGACACATAAACATATTTATATTTATTTCTATATCTTTATATATATCAAAACCATGCACTATACTTATAACTTCAGTCCCTGTCCAACACTACATGCTTCATTTCAGTTTCTCCTGGCTCCCTTCTCCAACAGAGAGAAATCTAGCTCCCATTATCCTTCATATATTTACCTATATGCTCAATCCCTTTGCAGTAATCAATCACTTGTCATGTTGGACCAAACTGCCTTGCTAAGCCTCACACAGGCCCTGAACCCTGCCAGGCTACTCTCCTTGCTTGGGCCTGATTAATGGCTTGACTGAATTTTTAAGGGAAGATGGATGGATGGATGGACGAATGGATGGATGGATGGATGGGTGGATGGATGGATGGATGGATGGATGGATGGATGGGTGGATGGGTGGATGGATGGATGGATGGATGGATGGATGGATGGAAAGAAGGAAGGATGGAAGAAAGGAAATAAAGAAGGAAAGGACTTTTCTTCTTTTTTTGATATAACAAACAATAGCATTATTGAACTCAATGGCCAAGGAATGAATTTCAAATAGAGGAGTGGATAAGAAGAAAAGAAGACATTCTGGACTCGTGTGTAGTCTAGGGCCTTTTAATGTATCAAGGAAATAACCACTACGTTGGTTTATTCCCAGATCCACTGTGGAGTCAGAGATGCCCCTGCTCACAGCACACAAGTGCATAGGGAAGCACCTCTGTTGGAGGTCAAATGGAGGTGCAGGTACTGGGACTTCCCTTCCCTTTCCTCCTAGGGTTTAGACAAGAGTACTGCCTGACTCTCTTGAATCCCAAGCTCCACTCTCCCTCCCACTTCTCCTTGGCAGAAAAGCAGAGTTGTAGAGCTTGACAGGTTTATTTTTTTTAAATTCATATATATGTTTGTAAGTTATCTCAGCAGAATGCATTTACATCTTTATGTTTTTCTACAGATACACAGCCACATAGCCATTACCTTGAACCTCTGACTCCGACAAAAACTGATACAGGTTTGTATGGTAAGTTTGTTAGATGTTTTACTGGCACCAGTGAGAGGAGGTGGGTTTCCATGATCCTTGTAGCAGCCAAGGTTTCCAGGCACTGGAGAAAAAAAGAAAAGCAAAAGAATTTCACAACATCTGGCTGTGAAACACTAATTTGTGCTGGTACTTTGATCTCAGTCAATGTTTCCACTCTTAAGGTACAAATAAATAAGCAACATGGTTTAAAAATGGAGGCCTTAAATGTTCTCTGCTATGTGTAATGTAGGGGGACACAGGGAAGGCAGTATACCAGGTAAGAGAAGTAGTGACTGTGCAGCGTCTTACTTCCCTGATGGGCAGTGACTGTAATGGGGTATGTGGTGGGGAGCTGATAATAGGGGGAGCCTATAACCATAATGTTGTTCATGTAACTACATTAATGATAGCAAAAAAAAAAAGTGTCCTCTGCTAAACGCCACGTTTTAGTTTTATTTTGAAGAGTATGTGAAACCCAGGTTCATCTTTAACTAACCTGTTCAATATTGATAGAATTTACTATTGAAGAGAACTAGGAATAATTCCTAAAAAGTAGAGAAGCCTACAGTATGTAAATTATATATCAGAGTCATGGAAGGGCAGGAAAAGCCCTTAGAAGTCCTTGTGCTTCCATTGTTCCTTAAAAAGTCCCACTTCAGTGAGTGTATTAATTTCCTCTTTCTTGGAACAAATTACCACAAGCCTAGTGGCTTAAAGCAGCATGAATTCATTCTCTCGCAGTTCAGGAGGTCAGAAGAACTAAGTGGATCTTAGGGAAATCAAGGTGTCAGCAGGGCCTTGCTCCTTCTGGAGGCTCAGAAAGAGAATCTGTTCCTTGCCCTTCCCATCTCCTAAAAACTGCCCCCGTCCCTGAGACTGTGACCAAACCACTCGAGCCTCTGCTTCATCATATTGCCTTCCCTCCCTCTGCCTCCTTTTTCACATCATCTCTGACTCTGGTCGTCCCGCTTCTGTTATAAGACCCTGTGTGATTACATCGAGCCCACCTGAATAAGGATACTCTCCCCACCTCAAAACCTGTAACTTAATCATATCTGCAGAGTGCCTTATGCCATGTAAGGTAACATATTCAAAGATTCCAGACATTTTGGGGGGGGCCAATATTCAGCTGACTGCAGTGGACCTGTTAGCATTCCACAACCACACAATCAGATAGTTTGGTTTAGTAGAAAAAGGTGTATGTGGGAATAAAGAAACCTGAATACAGGTACCAACTATACTTGTACAAACCAATACATATACTAATATAAGTGGCAAAGGTGATGAGATGCCAATTTGCAATTAGGCTACAAGAGACTGTGACGTCTGTCTTGCTAGCAGACTCTTTCTCTTGCCTTCTCAGCTTATGTACTTTGATGAAGTAATATACCATGTCTGGGGGGTCACGGGTAAGGAGCTGAGGGTGGTCTTGAGCCAACAGCCAATAAGAAACCAAGACTTTCAGTTTCTGCAAAGACTGAATCCTACCAACAACTGTGTATGCTTGAAGTAGACCCTTCCTCAGTGGAGCCTTCAGATGAGACCCCAGCCCTTGCAGACACATTGACTGCAGTTTATGAGAGACCTTTAAGGAGAGGACCCAGCTAAGCCATGCACAGATTTCTTGATCCAAATAAAGTGTGAGATGATAAATGTGTGTTGCTTTAAGTCACTAAGTTTTAGGGTAATTTATTATACAGCAACAGCTAACTAATTAAACACCTATAAAATACATATTAAATATATGTTTATTGAATGAAGGAATAAATTTATATAAGCCACGAACAAATCAACTTCTCTGGACCTTAATTTTCTATCTGTGTTATTAACTTGTGAATCATTTCACTATCAGCTCTTTCCTTATATTCTCTGTTTGACTCCTCACTGTTGATACAACTGAAGATAGAATAAGACATGAATGAGGCCTGGTCCTAGAAGCACTTTGAGGTTTAAGAGCTATACAGTATCCAATTCCAAAGTGAACCACATACATTCTTAGAATCCATTTTCCTTTATGTTTAAGACTGAAAAACAGCATGGTCCAGTTTAACAAGCTTTATATTGACATTAGTCTTTGGCATATAAAAATACACATGTGTATATGTGTATTTGTCCACACACACTTTTTAATGTCTGTCACCATCTAGGTCTAACCAGTCCATTTTAAATTGGCAGGAAGTACCTCTGCTAACTCAAAGAGTCACCCTTCCCCTTCTAAGCCAAGTGGTTATCCTTCTCTCTTGCGTCACACATGGTTCAAATATAACAAATGTGGCTCACCACACAAATGTTAAAATGCATCTTTTGGAAACAAACCAGATCTCTATAGTAGCAAATGTAAACAGAAAAGCTCTAGGCAGTAGGAGTCCAGTGTTCAGCGGGGGCCTGGCTTGGTTATAGAGTTTAAACAAATGCAGTGAGTTAACATCTTTAGCTGGGGTGTATCATATAAGCCAAGTTTGTTAAAGGGACCTTGCACATGGAAACCTGAACCACACATTTAATGGTTCTTAATGAGAACTACTTGATCATGAATATCCTGGTCATTTACTCTGATTTTGTCTCATTTATTCCATTATGCTCACAAGTAAGCATGTTATTATGTATTAATTTATAGGGAGCCCAAGGCACATAATCATAAATGTTAAGATTAGACACAAACAAGGTTGTGGGTTCTGCTAATGCAGCTGGAACCTATAAGCTTTATTCACAATTCAGTGAGCAGATGCAGGCAGCTCATGTTCCAGTGGTGCCATGAGGTCCCCAAACACACCATGAGGTAGATCACTGGAAATCAGCCCAAACCATGCTGCTGCTCCATCCATTTGAATATTAATAGCTGGTATCGTCTTTGCCACCCAAGTCAATCACTTGCCAGACACTGACAGTTCTACTTCCTAAAATATTGCAGACATCTGTCCATGTCTTTCTACCAACACTCTCACTTCCCCAGTGGCCCACCTAGGCTGCCCTCTCCTTCCAGTTAGACTACTGCATCAGTCTCCTGCTCCTTCTCCCTGTTTCTGGGCTCACTGTACTCTGAACTAATTAGTACACTGCAACCAGAATACTCTTAATAGCACATTTCCACACAGAAGGAAGGTGAGGGCAAAATCCTAAGGGCAAGAATGACCTTGGCTTTTGCAGGGATAAAAAAGAAGTGAGTATGATCAGTGACTGAAAGAGGAAAAAGCAGCAGGAGCTGGAGAGGTATGCAGGGGCCCTGCCTAAAACCCTCAAAGCTCCTTAGTTGCCCCTGAGGATTAAATCCAAACTCACATGGTATACGAAGCCCGGCAGGATCTGGGCTGCTTCCCTTCCCCTCCCCACTCAGCAGGACCTCCCCCATCCCTGGGCTCACATTGCCTATGAAGGCCAAGATAAATTATTGTATATTTGTAAGATTCCCAGCTGTACATTGCCTTCTGGCCTCTGGACTTTTGACATGCCATTCCTTCTATTTGGAGTACTCTTCCCTGCTTAAGACTGCAGGCTGAGCATAACTTCCCCTGGGAAGCTCCAGGGCCTCCCATCACCCCACCCCCAGCCCCACAAAAAAGGCTGTGCTTCTGCTGTGTAGTCCTGTGGCAGCCTATGCTGAGCGTGATTCTAAACACCTGTTCACTGACTCTCTCCCCAACTAACCATGGACGACTTAAGGATAGGACTGTATTTTCCACACACTACTGTATTCACAGGGCCTGGCATGGTCCCAGCCAAACAGCATGTGCTCTGAACGGTGTGCTGAGTGAACAAGCATGCTCCGTGCTGTCGGCTGAAATCACAGAGTGAGTAGGTCAAGGTTACTTAGGCAGCAGGGAATGAAGAGAGCAAAGCACAAGTGAAAAACTGAGCTGATCTGCGTATCATCCACTTAAAGCTGGTAACCCTTGGTTTAGACGCCTGCCTGCTCACTGTCCTCTTTGGCTATTAGAAACACTATTCTAGATAACTGAGTTTTCCACAGAGGTTAACTTTAACCTTAAAATTTTATTTTTATCATTTTGGATGAAACCTTTCTAAAATGCATGAACTATTTCTTTGAAAATATTTAAGTTTGTTTAACCTACTTAAAATTTTTCTTGGTGGCTTAAGGTCATCAAATGGCCTTCACCAAATGGCCCCAGACTGGTGAACATTTTTTTACATTCTTGTGTCTGGCTTTACCAGTTAGTCTGTCTCCTTAGTCGCTGTCGAGGCTGCTGAGCCGCCGACCATCAGAACTGGAAGGAGTCTCAGAGCACTTCTGCCTCTTGCCACTGCCATTGCCGGCAGTCCATGTGCCGCCTCTGCTCAACTGGCTGCTTCTTAGGGTTAGAACAAAACTATTGAGCTTATTAGAATTGTGTGAAAAATAAGGATAAATAGTCACTGAAAGATGGGGGGTGACTTTATGCACCCCACTTTCTGCCATTCATATCATAGCTCAGGAGTTGATTTTGCTTGTTTCCGTCCCAGTAACAAGGTGATCTTCTCAAGGGCCCTGGTGCTACCGTCCCCTGTCGAGAAGCGGCCAGCATGGTGCAGCGATGGTAAACGTGAGCTTTGGGGTTGGACTCCAGGTGAATTCTGGCCCTCCGCTACAGACTTTCTAAGCTTAGTTTCATCAAGAGTGAGATGAGGAACAATACAGGCCTCAAAGGGTTCTTCTGAGAACTAAAATGAGATCGTGTAAATTAAGTAAACACCACAAAGCCTGGTGAGATAGTATGTGCCGAATAAATAGTGTTTATTATCATTATATATAATAAGGCTTTCATCCTTCACCACACAAACAAGAACTTGCTCAGTAATAGAAAATAAAATAGCATTGAATGAAAACACAAAATCAAAGGCAGCCACCTCAGAAAACTGGGTTTGATTCCAGATATTACACTATTTATCTCTTACATCTGGTTAGTACCCAGTGCCTTTTCTCATAAGCATCGCACATGAAACTCAGCCTCCTTTCAGGAAGGTAGGACACATGATGTTACTCCTATGCGACAAAGAAGGGATATGTTTATGAAGGAATAAATTGATTTTATTATAGGATACTCTCCCCACCTCAAAACCTGTAACTTAATCATATCTGCAAAGTGC